TAATTAATTGATATAATAAAATTTTATATTTATCTTTAATTAATCAATTACTTAATTCTTCTTATTTATTAATGTATTTTTAATTATTTCTTAAAATAAAATAAAATAAATTAATTAATTAATATTTTAAAAAATTTTAAATAATTAAATTCAAAACACTTTAAATTAAAAATTAAATATAATAAAGCGACGGCTGTCGCATTTTTATTAAAAAGAGAAACGCCACGTTTTCACCACTTACTTGCCCAATACCTGGGTTAAGTATTGGGGCATCACTTCTTCATTGGGAAAAGAATGCCCCAATGAGAATGTTCAAGCATCCAACAGGAAGGGAAGCAATTCTTGTTTCTTCAAAGAAAAAAAAGGAACAAAGCAATTACAACTATAATTCAGCTTGTAGAAGAGGATGGATCTGATTCTTTTATGCAAATGGAAATTTTTTTCATTGAACTAAACGAGCCATACAACAACGACAACAAAGGTAAAGAACTGCCTAGCTATCTCATACAAGGAGGCAAATAAGCACAAACAAAGAGCAAATGGAGTAGGAGGTTATTATTTCACATATTTACTTCAAGCATGGATAGTTTGACTGAATCTAAACACTTCATCGTTATACCTTCTATATGGGTAGGCTTGTAGCATCTCAAAAGCAACCTACAATTGGGGATTTACTTTTATCTTCTTCTTCTTTCCCATCTCATCACTCACTACACCTGAAGTAGATGGAGATCGAGATGGACCTGGTTGCAGCCAAGCTGGTGGTGGCCAGAATATCTTAGAATACCTAGGATGAGATGCCAGCGATCCCACCATCTCTTCCCCTAGCTTATATACACCAATCTTGCTTAGATTTCCCCTAACACCATCTCCCTCAATATTGGAACAGAATTGACCAGAATGATGAGCAAAATAAAGGCAATCAGGTTCTAACCCAGTACATTCTAGAGTCGAAACAGAAAATGAGAAATGGTCTCCAAGAAATAACACTTGATTGCCTACACTGTTAACCTCCTCCAGATCATGCAGCTCTTGGTTCAGCTTAAAGAATCTCAAATCAGTCGTATTTTGGGGAAGCAACTTACGGTAAACCAAGAAAAGGTCAAGGTCATCGGATGACTTAACCAGGCGAAAATCACCACCAATTTCATCTCCACCCATGGCAGGTCCAAAAATCTCAATCAACTGCAATGAGAGTTCCTCGAATACCAAAAGCCTGCATAATTTATCCACGGCATAGAATTTCCCACAGAAATTGATAACATCATGAAAGATTATGTGAGAGTAATCTTTAAATATAGTCCATTCATCATCCCCTAACAGAATAGAACACAAATGACCTTGACCATAGATTGCCAGGAGCAAAAAATCATCACTGGACGACTTGGGTCTCGATGACAAAGCCACTCTATGAACATCAATAACCTTGGACAAATAATGAAAACCCGGATTAGGCGAAACATGATATACCTTGCACAACTCTGAGACACGAAAATCCAGAAAGTTCAAAACTTTGGGAAACCCATAAGCCTTTGCGCGGACGGAGCCCTTTAACAGTGGATTTTGAAGCCGACTGCGCCCGGTACTTGACGCTTCGATTCTGAGCAACCAGCTGCCGTTGTTCTTCCGATTATTACAGTTAGAAGCCGGTGGATCGAGGCGATAGATTGTGCTGTAAGACAGAATGTACTCACCATTGTGCGTACCTTTGCGGATTTGGGTGTTGTGTTTTGGGGAGCGGATCCAGCGGGAAGGGAGATTGACGGGGGAATGAGGGGATGGGCAAAACGGAGGGATGGAGGAGCGCCATGAAGAGCAGACGGAGCGCACTCGGAGGATGTCGATATGAGTTTGAAATTTTGCAGCGATTAGAGATAGTATGTCTTTCGGAAGATCGGCCCACTTTTCTTGATTCATGTCTCCCAATCACCGTCGCTGTCTTTCGGATTTCGCCGTTTTGGGATTTTGTCTGAAACCCTCGAATATTTCAGATGTTACGATTGCGACATGCAAAAGAAATCAGGAGGATACATACATATGAGTCTATGACACGCAACAGGTGAAACGCTGCGTTTTCACCTCCCATTTATTGCGTAATAATTAAATTTCCGGGTTTTTTAACCGAAAATAAAATTGCAAAAGGTTGTTATAGTTGTTTTAAAAATTAATAATCATTCCTGCAAACAACAACATTTTTTTTTTTAGTAATGATAAGGAGGAAAAAAAATTTGAGATCAATAATATTACTTATGTCATGTTATTAAGCTAGTTAATATATATAATATTATAAGTTTTTAAAAATAAAAAGAATTAATTATTAAATAATATAAAATTTATTTTTAATAGTTTAAATAAATTATATCATTAATCTCAAATTTTAGTCTAATTTATAATTATTTTTTCCTTTTTTTAGGGGTAAAAACAACCACAAATTTAATACAAAAATTCCATTTTATAGAATAAAAGCAAAACCTTCAAATCTATCATAAAAAAAAATCGGTTGAGACATATTTACTCTTAAAAAAAAAGTTATCTAAATCATAAATTAATGCAAATCATTTATATTTTAGTACTTTTCGTTAAAAAATACAAACATGAAAAATAAAATTTTGACATTTTTTGTTAAAGTAAAAGTGATCTATATTCATTTATGATTTAAAAGAGTAATTTACCCTTATTTTTTCTTAAGAATGGATGTATAACTATCGAAAATTTTTTTAGGGTAGATTTGAAAATTTTTGCTGGAACAAAGCCCCCAAATTCTAACATTGTTAATCGAGCTTATTTATGAGTATAAATAAGAAGTTATAATTATATAATTATTATAATATTTTTATTTTAAAAATAATAAAATTAATTTTTATTTTAA